GTCTCCACACTCAGCACGCTGTCGTGGCGCTGCGGCCCGTCCAGCACCAGCTGCTCCAGCCGCTTCAGCCGCACCTTGGCCGACATGGTGCCTGAGCCGGCGTCCCCCCCTCACACACACACCGCACACACACAGACGGGGCCCGGCCGTGTTCTCCTCAGCTCAGCCCCGCCGCCTCCGCCTCCTCCTCACGGCCGCGCCGGGGCCGAGCGGCTCCTTCCGCGGGCTCCGCCTCAGGCGCGGCCGCTCCATGGGCCGCGCCCCGGCCGCTCCCGCTCCGGCCTCGCCCCGGCGGCGGGAAGGGAAGGGCCGCGCCCGCTCGGCAATCTCCGGCGGCGCTCGGCAATCTCCGGAGGTGCTCGGCAATCTCCGGCGCCGCTCGACTCCGCTCGGCAATCTCCGGCAGCGCTCGGCTCCTCCCCGGACACGCCCCGAGCGCGGCGCGGGGAGGGGAGGGAGGGGAGGGAGGGGGGACTGGGCCCTGCGCCGTGCCGTAGCTGGGGTGGGGGTGCTCAGGGCTTTGGGTTCGTCCCCGCACATTCGCCACGGGGTTAAAGGGGCTGCGCAGCACTTTCGCCACGCCGTGGCATGGTGCTGGAGGGATTTTAAGGGGGGTTCCCCGCACTGCTGGGGGGCTGCGGGGGTCTGGGGGGTGAGCTGGGCTCTGCCAGGCTACGGCTTCCCCCAGGGGACAGCTGCTGCCCCACTGGGCTGGTGTCACCCCATGGGGTCCATCCCTGGTGTCACCCCATGGGGTCCATCCCTGATGTTACCCCCCTGGTGTCACCCCCTGGTGTCACCCCTCTTGTCAGCAGGCAGCTCTGGCAGCCCCCGTGCCTTGCTGGTGGTTGAGGCAGCGGGGCGAGCACAGACCTGTGTGTTAGCAACTGCTCGTGCTCACCTGAAGGAGCTGGGTGCAAGGCTCTCAAGCTTTATGAAGTGCCTTTTTTTTTTTTTTAATATGTACATATATATATATATATATTGCATTTCAATTTATTCTGAGAACTGTTCTCTCTGGAGATTGCAGCACCTCCAGGCAAGATGCTGAATAGCGTGATGGGAGTTTACCTCTCTAGGAATGCGGCCGGTCAGGTCCCGATGCAAAACTGCACTGGGAAGGATGCCTCTGCCTTGCTCATCTCCCCGGGTGATTAGATGGAGCGAGGTGGGCTGAAAATCATACAATCATTAAGGCTGGAGAAGACCTCCAAGATCATCTGGTCCAACCATCCCCCTACCACCAATGTCACCCGCTAAACCATGTCCCTGAGCACCACATCCAACCTTTCCTTGAACACCCCCAGGGATGGTGACTCCACCACCTCCCTGGGCAGCCCATTCCAATGCCTCACTGTTCTTTCTCAGAAGAAAAGTCTCCTCATTTCCATCCTGAAATCATCACACGGAGATGGGAGGCAGCTCTGCGCTGGGTCTGCCAGAGCTCGCAAACCTCCTGCCTCCAGGAGCTGGAGCTGGGCAAGAGTTTGCATAGCAGAAGTTGCAGTTGCTGGCATTCGTCGTGGTCAGAAAGTGATGTGTGAGGTTGTTGAAAGACCCGAATGATCTCAACCATCACCTTGAGGGTCAGCCCCAGCCAGTGCTGCATCCAGGGAGCTGCCCTTTTCAAAAGTTCAGGAGCACAGCCAGACAGAGCTAGACAGAGCATTACGGAGCAGAAGGTATTGCTCCCAACATGACATGGGTCCAGCAGGTGACTATGGAAATACTGTTTTCAGGAGCTGTTGCCCCTCAGGCATGTCTGATATTTCTTTGACACCGAATACCTATTGTATCTGAACGCTATTTGGGTCATAATAACAGCATGCTGTGCATTTGGACCTACTACCTGGATCAAAAAGGTATAGGCATGTTGGGACTTGTTAATTCTAAAAAATGCAGTTCAGTAGAGGATACTGTGAATCATAGTTTTTTCACTGAGAACATATAATTTTAAAACAAAGAAAAGCCACAGTGGATTAAAAAAAAATTACAGCATATTCTTTCACAAGTTTTCACTGTTCTCCCTCTATGTTTCTCCCTGGTTACAGTTGTTTTACCTGACCTCAAACTGTTTAATATCATAGATGCATTAATTTGCAGGATTCTTAGCATATTAATAATCCTTTTTTTTTTTTTTTTTTTTTTTTTTTTTTTCCTGGTGTTACTGCTTTATTTAAAATGAGAGTTTAACATTTTCCACTTATTATCACTTTGGATACTCATTTTTGGACAGCTTATCAGGGTAACGGAGCAGAGTTCTAAAGATCCAGTAGTTTGTTACAATAATACAAGAGAAAGTTATCTGTTTTTTCCCCTTCTTATCTGTTCCTGCAGATGGTGATTATCACAACCTTCTTCAGCAAGAAAGAGTGTATAAAGGAAGCTGCAGCCCGATGAAGACAGAGCTGTTCTCTGCCTACCAGTCCCCTTGGTCTGCTCTACATTAGCAGGATTCAGGGATTTCAAGAACTATTCCTGACTTATACCGACCACTGAAGAATCAGGTCCTATGCTGGGAAGACAGCAGATGGATGGCAGATGATATTGAAGCCTGCTTTTGCAACTATGGAAGGTTTAGTGTATAGAACCCACATGTGAAAAGGTATTTGAGTGGTACCGTAATTATTTCAGAATTAGCTGAAAGATTTCAAAAAATCTCGTGAAAGGTTACAAGTTTTGTGTATTGTAAATAAAGCTGGATTTTCACAGCAAGGTTTGCAGTTGCAAAAAAAACACCTAGCTGAAAAGTGACTTTTGGTATACTTACTTATTAAAAATGTATGTAAGCTTGAAAATGTAGCTGAAGGTTTTCTACTTCTGTTACTCATGTGTGCCAACTCCATATACTAAAAATAAGTGTGATCTGGCTAAAATGAATTAAATGATCCATCTTACTGGTTCCTTTTTCCTGTGGTATATTTCAGTGGAAAAATACAGCCCCCTTTTCTGGGACTGTTCTGATTTTTAAAATCCTCTTTTTTTTTTTTTTTTTTTTTTTTTTTCTGGTTAGACAAAATGTAAGCAAAAGGGTTCTCACATATATTTTCTGAAATCATTGCAGATTTGCAGAACTGAAGGAAAAAAGTCCATATGGCTACCGAAAAGTTCCTTCAGAACTAATCAACTTAAGTCTCTTTCCTCTCCTTTTTTTTTTTTTTCTTTTTTTCTTTTTTCTTTTTGGCTGTTCTCCAGGTAACTTAGTAACTACTAGAGGGAGAAATTCTGTTACAGAATTTTGATGGCAACAGGAAATAGCTGTGTCACTGCTTTATGACTTCAGGAAAATCCACCCACAGATCAGTTTGGAATTGAGAAGAATAAAGAAATAGGGAAGTCTACAGACAGAAATTGCAAATATTGCTCATTAAAAATTAAGGCCTTAATGCTAAAAAATAAAAAAATAAATAAAAGTGAAGGCATCACAAATACCTACTTTGTCACATTCAGACAGAATTCTAGGTAAAGAGGAAAAAATATCAAGTTGCAAACTTTATTTGCTTTTTATTTCAATCGTTTTTACATTAATTAGCAAAGGGGAGATTCTGAACAGCTAGAAAACCTAGCTAGAAGACGTAAATATATTCTACTCATTAAGAAAATGAGATGGAATTTCTTGCTGAGAGAGAAGCTTACAAATGTGAGGCAAGGGAGTTTTCCAAGGATTCAGAATACAAAATATAATTAAATTGAAATCAGAGAAAGCTCATAGTAATAAAATTTCAGAAGTAGAATATAAGAAAGAGTTAAATCTGACTAAGAACAACATGACTGGTTTATTTCTTCTTGTTATCATAGAGTTTCCTTCCTGGAATTATTTTTTTAGGAAACTGTCACCTTTCCATCACTGTTTGTATTTGGCAATACTCTAAAAAATTCCTTATTGCCAAAAGCAGTGTGAATCTACAGCTGTCATCCAGACTGGGAGCCAAAAATAATCTATCAGTGGGGGCTGTCTTTGATGACATTTCATCATGTGAGCCTGAGCACTGAGGTAAGATACTCGATATTAAAAACAACAGCTAAGTCGCCATTGGAGACTGTGTGGGGTTAGTGGTGGTGAGAAGTGAGCATAAGATTTCTCAAGGCAAAGTCTCTTGGTAGGATGACGGATGCTAGAACTCTGCTTCATCTTCCAGGGAGCTCTGTCTGCTTCAGCTCACTGCTAATGGACTAGTTTAGCAAGGGGATTTCACAGATGCTCTTGTCTTCGCACATGATGATGAGTGAAGTGGGAGGAAAGAAAGGGAAGTTGCTCATGAAGAAGTGCTGGGAAGAGCTGAGAGTCTGTTCGTTTCCAATTTTCACTAAAATGCTTTCTCATAACAATAATAAAAAAAAAATAGCAGCAAAGCCATTTGGCAGGCCACCTTCTACTAAGTGCATTCTGCCATTAAGTGCATTTGCTGGCAGTGCTTCTGCTTTGCTCTTCTACGTACCTAGAATTCAGTCATAGTATAACACAATATTTTGAAGTGAAGGTGAGGCGCACTAGGATATGCAAAGATTTTGCACTTAGTGGGTGCTTTCTTAAAGAGAAAAAAAAAAAAGAAGAAAAAAATCCTTGGATGTATTGGTAGATTCTTTTAGGGACACATCACTTCTGCCTGGTTTGCTTTGATGGATTTAATGAGCAAGAAGCTGTCACAGGCTCAGAAACCATACAAACCTGTCACTTCTTCCAGTCTAGATGCAGCAGGTTCCCAAACACATTGTTTCCTCCTCGATATTTTTTCTTACTCATATTGTTTTTTTTTTCTCGGTAATTTATGTCTATTTAAAGTTCACCTGAAAGAAGGGAACTTGCCTCCCTGCTGCTATTTCAAGAAACCATCATGGGTATTGATCAGTATGTTTCCTGATTACAGGCAGTTTAATACAAGGAGCCTGAAATGGATCACATCAAATTAACCAGCTTCTCATTCCATTCACGTCTTGAGAGTAGCATTAACTGAAGTGGGCAGCTGTTTCCATCAAAATTATTATGAGGCCACTTGTTCTTTTTTTTTTTTTTTTTCTTTCTTTCTTTCTTTTTCCTTTTTTTTTTTTTTTTTTTTCAGAATTTGTCTGAAAATGACTGAAGTGTCAGGGAATTGCAGTTTTAGATGAGGTCATTGTTGCGGACATCTGGAACAGAATGTCATCACCGCATTGAGGCAACACAACAGCTCAATTTTATTTCAGTTCTGATTTCAAGTCCACAATATCCCAAGAAAAGCATTGGCTCCATGATCTAGTCTGCTTAGGCACGTGATAATGTTGAAAGACTGGCAAAACAAAACAAAAACCAGTTAGACTCATGCTACTTAAGGGATCTTCAAAGGAGGTGGAAGCAGTAGGGATGATAAAAACCAACAACAACAACAAGTACTTGTCAACAATTACGACATCTTGCAAGTAGCAGCACCACGTTTTGCTATCTGTATAGTTGCCATTTTTGTCATTTAATAGTATTGTGTTACTGCAACCTCACATCTGCCAGACTCAGTCAGATCAATCTTTGTTCGAAGTGTGAAAAGCATCATGTTGCTAGAGGCAATTTTTTGCGCCTGAGTAGATGCTGTACCCAGATTATCCTGTTTTGTTTTGTGGGTTTTTATTTAATGATTTATTTTGCTAGATACGCTGGCACCATAGTTCAGCTAAGCACTAAGTAGTATTGTTCCTCGTGGAGAATAAGAGGAATTTTAGGTGATATATGCAAAAAGGAAATGTGATCCTTTTTCTTAGCTAATCTGTAGGATTAGTTCCCTTGGGTTGCTGAGAGTAGCAGTGTTTTCCATATTGCATTTTAAATTAATGTTGCATTTTATTATTTTATTTTTTTAATGTCTTGAGAGAAATGACTGTAGGAAAAAAAAAAAACAAAAAAACTTTTTCAGTCTGTCTTCTCTTCTGTACCTTTAAAAATCTGTCATTGACTTTAATAGCAGTGTTCCCATGGAGATAAGCACAACTAAATCTACCTACAAGGAAAAGAACTAGTCTGCTTTGAATGAAATATTTTTGCATTTTAAGTAACATTACTTTAGTACATACTTCATTCTTCTATGATAGAGTGCTCTTTGATTTTCAGAAAATGTATAATCAAAGTAATAATAATAATAATAATAATAATAATAATAATAAAGTGAATTCTACTGTATTCTCTTCCCTGGTTCCCTCTCCACAATGGAGAATCCATAGATAATCTTTTATTTTTTTGGTAATGAGAAGTTGAAATCAGAAAAAAAAAAACAAAACAACAGATTCCAATCTGTTTTATAAGAGGCAGAGCATAAATAGCATTCAGGAAAAAAATACAGTTATACAATGTCCAAAAAGCAGCAGGAGATAGTGTGCAGAAAACACTTCTACTTCTTCGGTAATGGTGACCTGGCAAAGTACCTTTGGCTGCTGGTGTTTTATTATGAATTTCCAGGCACTGTTCAGAAAGGCAGAGGTGGGACCAAAATGGCTTCAATTTATTCACAGTACCCTGGGGCAGTGAATAAAATAACTGTACTATCTTCAGTATCAAATACCCTGAAAGGCATCTCTGGGTAATTTTCACTTTCCTGTTCAACAGAGCCTCTTCCAAAAACAAAATGACTTTTTTTTTCCTGACAATGTGCGAAAAAGACATTTTGCTCCTATTCATTTGCTCTAACAAAGCGTTCACCCAAGCTGTAGGCTGATCCTAGCTGCACCATTACAGGCTGGATTTACACCAATGCTGCTACCTTTGGCTTCTGCCTTACCCGGTCTTCACAAAGCTGCACGGAAGCCCCCCATCTCACACATTATACCGGCAGTTTCCACAATTTCTAGCAATATTGACAGTGATTCAGCAGAGACCCAAACTTTGTAGCACCGCAGGTGAATGTGAGAGCTGGCCTGGCCTGACTGCCCTCCTCACAGCTGCCTCCTCACAGGGAGTGGCGATGAGCTGCTCATCCTCTGGTAGATGCTGGTGGCACCCAGTGGGATTTTGCAGGGTCTATGGGTGTCACACTGCCTTCTGAAATGGAGGGGAAAGAGAAACTAAAAGTCAGGAGAGACCCTGAAGAGCTGGACATGCACTAATTTGGGTTGGGGGTTGTGTGGCAGCTGGTGGTGCTTGTGGGAGTGCATTCACCCCCACCCAGAACAAGTAGCAGCCAGCTTTGCTTGCTAACTTTGGCAAAGGAGAAGGAAAGGATAACTTCTAGTTCTGCTCTGGCCTCCAGCTGGCTCTGTGGTCATCAGCCCTCAACCACTCGACAATAAAATGCCATCTTGTTGTCCCCACGTTATCTTTTTTTTTTCTTTTTAGATGCTCTGTATAGTTGTCTCTGTACAGAACAATGCTGAAACAATCTACAGGCCATAAGGAGCTGCGTCTGTGGGGTTTTAACTTGCAGACATGACTAAACGCAGCGTTGCAGTCTCTCCGTTTTGGGTGTGGGTGCAATTCCTGCTAACGTGGGGTTGAGTCAGCGTCTGATCCTGTGTGTGACAATGTCACACATACACTTTATTGCTTCACACATGCTTTACCAAAGCCCTGTTTTCAGTGACAAAAGAGCAAGTAATGACTATGACATGGTACCGGGAACCCAAATCCCTGGCTTGGAGGTCCTCCAGCCATCAAGGGCCGTGGGAGGAGCAAGAGGGAGGGATTCGGCAAGCAATCACGGGTTCAGAGAGCTGCTCCCCCTTGCAAGATGTATGGGCAGGCACACAGCGTCCGAGGAGGCAGCTGCGGTGGTTATTACTTGTTGTTCCGAGTCTGTTAGCTGTGATGGGGAAACAGGGACGTCTCTAAGTGCAGAAATGATGACTCTTCAGTGGCCATCGCCACAGGCGGAGTGCTCAGGCTGCACAACCCAGAAGAGCATGCAGTCATGATTGCTCTTTCTAAGAGGATTAATGGTTAAAGAGAGGCTTCTTCTCTTCCTGACGTTAAGCAGGAGGGGGACAGATCCACAGCTACAATAAATCGTCATGGCTTCACTGGAGTCAGCAGCAAACTGCAGAGGCTCACGATGTCAATAACTAAACTCCCCAGGGCAGATCTTCAGCTGGTAGAAATTGTCATAACTTCATTGAAATCCACTGATGTCCAGCTGACCCTGCTATTGATTTTGCTGGGAGTAGGACAAGGCCTAAATTTAATTTTGTGGTAGTCCAGGAACAGGACACATTATTTCGAAGCATCCATCGCTACTGTAATTAATTGGTGCCTGTCCTGGGCAAGGCTGTCTCTTTCAATCATTAAGATGCCACTTGCCAATCTATGAATTGCCCTGCGGATGTGAAAATCTGAACTGACATAATATATGTAAAGCAGAAGGGGGTTGACTATTTCAGGTTTCATTTAGGTGTGTAGCCTATGTTTGCCTCAGGTAACATCGAGGTACTACTTAATCATGATAACACGATTAAGATGCAAATCCACAAGCCTAATTTAAATACATTTTTTTTCCCTGAACCATCCAGCTGGGCGTAGTTTCTAAGAGTAAATGCAAAGTACTCACAGCAGGCTTCAGCTCAAGCAGAATCTCAGGGACGGCTTCCAAATGTAATCATTCATTGTCATAATAGAAAGTCGAGGTCACCTTTTTGACAGTGCTGGGAGTCTAGGTATTATGCATGATCTTTACTGCTTGTAGTACAGCATCGCAGAACCACAGAATGGCTGAAGTTGGCGGGGCCCTCTGGAGGCCACCTGGTCTCCAGTGTGTGCATAAAGCCTCTTGTCCTGGCACTGGACACCACCAAAAAGAGCCTGGCTCTTTGCACCCTCCCAATGTATTTACAGACATGGGTAAGATCCCACCCCAAGCCTCCCTCTTCTCCAGACTGACCAGCCCCAGCTCCCTCAGCCTCCTCTCACAGCAGAGGTGCTCCAGGCCCTCCAGCACCTTGGCAGCCTCCAGTTGCACTCTGCAGTGTGCCCAGATCCCTTGTACTGGAGGACCAGAACTGGGCACAGCACCCCAGGTGCAGCCTGACCAGTGCTGAGCAGAGGGAAGGGTCATCTCTCTTGACCTGCTGGTGATACTTTGCCTAATGCAGCCCCTTTTTGCAGCAAGGGCACATTGCTGGCTCACTCTTCAGAGTTAGAGAACCAGATAAGCCACTGCTCAGCAGGGCCAATACATCCTCTGCTCTGAATATAATGAAGAGTGTGCTATGCTAACCACTTTGTCAGTCTCACTGGTATTATACACCCGTCAATGTTCCTCCAAAACCATCTGACTTGAGAGAGCCTGCTAGAGGAGCAGCCACTGCTGCACGAGGCAACATGCAGCTTCTGTTCCAGGGTCCTGCTGGAGCCCCTTCAAAGCACAAGGACGGCACTGTGTGGTGGCACACTGGGATACAGGGCAGCAGCCCAAGTCAGAGCCATGCTGAGCCCTGGACACCTTTCCCAGGATTTTTACACCAGCACCATGTCAGCAGATATGGTGTTTTGCAGCAGGCCCCGACCTGCCGAGGCACAGCCTGGTCAGACTGGCCGTGTCCCTCTGGCTTGTCGGTGCTGCTGTGAGCAGCTGCCCTGTCCGCGTGGGACAGGATGTGACTTTTTTATGCAGTTGGCTCAGGTTAAGCCCAGATGTCTTGCGAGTTAACACCTTTTCCTGTTCTGCCTGCGTCTCCTCCTGCCTACTGGATTTCCCCTGGAGAGTAACTCCTTAGGCTTCAGTGAATGTTTACTTCATTTTCACTACCTTGAGGCAGGGCTGTGGGCTCATTCATTACAAAGTATGAGCTGTAATTGTGTTTAAATGGCCCTTTCTAGTTATTGCATGACCATGCAGAAGGGTTTTTGTGTTCCCATGGGCACACAGCTAAACTGTCCATGAGTTTTGCTAGCAGACTTCTTCCCCGTCACACTGAAGGACAGTGCCAGCTAAGAAGCAATCTTGTTGTCCTTTAGACTGTGGGCTGGGCATATGCTTAATATCGCTTTCTTATGAAACAACTGATTTGTAAGAAAGTCATATATACCTTGGGAAAGTACTGGCTATAATGTGATTAAGCGGCTTATGGTGAGAAAAGGACTAAATACTTGGAGCATACATTGTTTTGATCTGATATAGGGTCAGGTTGCCTCCAAAATAAGTCATCACAACTAGAGGAGTATTATTGCCATACAAAAGTTAAGGGAGCTGGGACTCTGTCTTTTAAATATAAGTGAACCCACTGCTTTATAGAAGAAAGTTAGCTAATATGCAGTGTGAGCATGTGTTATAGTGAGCCTGGGTTATTAGCAGTCACTTGGTTTGGAAGCCTTCAGCAAATAAATTTGCTGTTTCAGGACACAAAAGAGAGCGTGGTATCTGCTTTGTCAGTAGTCACTGCTGAAGTGAGTGATAAAATAGCAGTCTGTGAAGTCTATGAACTGTACTGATGTATCACAGCTTTCTCAAGGTTGTTGAAAGAAATGGGCAAGAGAACTGCGGTGCTAAAATAGAGGAAGAAACCAATCAGATGGTAAAAGAGTCTTTGTGCTATGAATACTTATGAGGGAACGAGCCCAGCTAGCTGTGGTCTGGCTGCACGCAACTCCAGAGCCCAGGTCGCTATTAATCACCTCAACCAGTTAGTCAATATTGATCCAAGATAGAAAGGATTCGGGAGCAGCAGAACACAGGAAACATTTCCCAGTGGATGTGTGGCCTGGATTCACACACTAATACTCGTTCCTCTGCTTGTCTGCAGCATTTCCGCAGCAGCATAGCCAGCTCTGCCCCCCCTCCAGCTCTCCAGCTGGAGTACCCACCCTTCCCGTGCCTGTATCCTCCAGCCTTGCAACGTGCCAAAGCATTTACCACTTCCTCCTGGCTAGTCACAATACTCCCAGTTCCCCTCCTGCCTCCCACCTACCTGTTTTGGGCTCTCATCCTGGCAGGCTGGGCAGGCCGTGCTGCTTGCCAGGCGGTAGGAGAGGGCTGGAGCCAGTCCTGCCCCTCTCTCTGGGAAGGTACAAAAGCAGAACCTCTCTGCTTTACTAAATCACCCATTTCCACAGAACTTGCAGGCAGACAGTGTCTTTGCTATTTCTGTGCTTTTGCCAAATTTGGTAGAAATCGAGTGCAGTAATTGCTGGTGCAGGGGGAACGACTGACATATCACCAGAAGACAGGTTGCTAAGGAACTCAGGCTGACAAAAGAAACAACCAGAACACCAGGCGTCGGGGAGCTCTGACAGGGGCTTTTAGGAATGCTGATAACAGAAATACCTCCATGATGAAGAACCAGATGAAGGACAGCTGTAGAAATACCACAGAGGCTTTGAGGAACCCAGCTCTAGATAGGGACATCACAGAAATGCTAAGAAGAGCTTGGGGTTTTGACTGAGCATTGTAGGAGAGTTATGAAGGATGTTAGCATCTCCAGATATAAACAAGACAGGGAATGTTTGGTGAGGGTGGCACAAAAGCGACTGAAGATCAACATGCAGCGTGATGGATAGTTTGCATTCAAAATCCAGTTCAGTCTCTGGCAAAGGGACGTGATAAGGCCAAAAGGGAGGGCAAAAGTCTGATAGGACAAAGCAAAAGCATTTATTTTGTGGCTTGCTGGAGATGACAGGGCAGAGTAGAAGTCCTAGCAGTATGCGAGCATTTTCAAGAGTGGCAGTGAAGGGAAGATAGCAAATGGCCATTAAGGAATAAAACAGGAGCTTTTAGTTATGAGGAATTCATCTGCAGAAAGACAGAGGGAACACTTTAATGAGCTCCTCAACAGAGAGGTGGGCAAAGGTGAAGAGCGAGCAGCTGTTTTCCAGACAGCCAACCTGTTTTCCCAAGAAATGTTGAAGAAGATGTGAAAGACACTTGGGAAACTTAGGACTAGCAAGGCAGCCGGGCACAGGCTGTTCCTGCTGAATTACTGAAAAATGGGTGGTGGAGATAAAATGAAAGCCTTTACGAGCTATTTTTATTGGCTTGGAGGTTTGAAACAATAATGGAAGGGTTGGCAGTGACCTAAATTGCATGCCCAGTTTGGAGAAAGGGAAAAAATGAGAGTGTGAGAACATAGGAACCTGCTCTTCAAGGACTGCGAGATCTAACTGCAACACCCAGGAGAGGCAGACCCCGGTACTAGAGACACAGCGAGCCCTTCCAGAGCACAGGAATCAAGACAGCCTGAGATAGCTTTTGCTGCCTACAGCCCTGAAGGACTCTCAGGCAGTGCCCTGATCCAAAAGCACAGCTGTTGTGGTTCAGGCTGGGCACAGACAGAGACACACAAGCTCTGTTCTCCTCCCCCACTGCAAAAGCTGTATTTTTATATCTCTTCTTGTGCCTGTTTCTGCATGGCCTGTGAGTTTCTTCTCTGCCTCCCAACCCCTGTCACTCAGCCTCAAACAGTACCCAGACAAAACCACGCTAGCCAGAACAGTCAAATTCCTGAGCAGCCTACCCTATACGAAACATATGTTTACTGCATCTTAAAGATCCCTTAAATGGAAGAGCAGCATATAAGCCTACCATACCTCATGAGATTTAGCCCAGTCCTAAAACAGTATTTATGGAACTACTGCTCTCGTTTCATGCTGTAATCTCAGCAAAATGCACTTACCACTGACCATATGGCGCGGATTCTGCATTCAATACCACCAGCGATGTCTTTATTTCTCCCAGTTTTATTGCAGTTACATACAATGCTGATGAGCTCAAAACTTTTCTGAATAGGACTCCCAAATACTTGGCAGTGCATTGCATGACAGTGCTATTTGCAGCTTGGCATTTCTCCCTGATTTATTGTTCCACATTAGTCATCAACATTAAAGCACATCTCTCCTTTATTGGCTTGGGGTCAGGGACTGATGCCCTGATTCACTTTGAGAGCACCCGACTCTACAAATATTCCCACTGATGCTCATGGATCTCCAGTTCAGTTTGCAAAGCAGGTGGTTACAGAGATGTCACTTGCTTGTACATGAAATATAACCAAGCAAAAAATTCTACTTTGTAATTTTCACAATTGCCTTTCAGAACAGAACTGCCTTGCATGCAGACCAGTTCCCTTCCTACTTATTAAATCCCTGACTGTTGTCTTAACCTGCAGATTTTGGTAACTAATATTTCATATTCCAAGCTAGTAATTTAAAAATACAAGACATTACAGATTATTAAAGTCTTAAAATCAAATGCTTGCTGGTTTGCTCATGTCCCAGCCTCCCCTCATAAGCTGTTTTAAGCCAGTTGTCTATCTAAGTGGCTGCTTTATTCCACTATCATAACACAGCCAATAGTTAATTAATCTTTAACTTTTCTCCTTATGAAGTGCTTTTTAAAAATCTTGGCACAAAATATCCACTCTATTTTCTCGTACTATCATCCCACTAACAGCTTTGAAGCATTGCAGTGAATTAGTTATGCAAGACTTCTCATCATTTCGCATCGTCTGTCTCATCATTGTAAATAAGGCACCGAAGCGCTGCTTCATCAAGCCCTGTCTCAAATAGATTACTGCATCCTTCAGAAAGAACAGTATCTTCCTTCTCATACATGTTTATGTTGGTTTGGGGGGGGATATATTTGATGACATTTGTCTTTTGGGAATACTGTCTCACTCTGAGGACTGGTTCAAGCATTTTTGAACTCTGCAAAATCTGTGCCGACTTGCCTTTAGCTGCCCGTTATGCCTCTCACCTTTTTGCTGGGCTGGCTGGCAATGCAATGAGCTCCGCATTCCCAGGGTACAGAAAACCATCAGACTTTCAGAGCTTCTGCAACCACTCCCCTCAGCAGAGCTGCAGAAAGGCTGAGGAGCACCAAGCTCCATCCTGGCAGACTACCATTGCTTAGGCACACTTCATTGGTACTTCAGCTGCAAGGACGTGTGGTGCAAGATGTGTATGGGGAAATAACTTCCAACCATCGAGTTCTAGGAGGCCCCAAGAGACCTCCTTCAGTGGCCTTGGCTGCATTGAGCGCACTGCTATGTCCTGTGGCATCCTCCTTTTCTCGTGACTTATACCCGCTTCAGCTGAAGGAAAGGAGCAGCAGATTGACTGCCATACAGTTGCCAGTTTTCAGCACAGAAGGTTTTATTTTAAAATTACACTCACCCTTAATCCCCTGTCTTGCTTGTACCTGTCATGTTGATACTTACCAGTTGGGAAAAGGAAAGAAATACAACCCTGGATAACCAAGAAGACAAACATGACGGGCTAATTTTTAATGAAGTTATTCCACTCTGCAATGATTCAGCAACAGCTACCATAAAATCTTTGAGTGTTTGTATTATATTTTTTGTGATAGTGGAATAAATATGGAGCTATTAATGCTCATAAACCTGGCAGCTTGCTGCTCTAACAGAAGTGATGTATCTAGGCAAGCAGCCTGGACAATTAGTCCACTCCTGCATGGATGAGAGTATCCAAAGATACAGAGTGATCTGAGGGGCGAGGGAAAAGTGGCTTGATTCTTGCTCTTAAGAAGCTACAAACAAACCAAAGTGCCCCAAAACAGCTTTTTGAGGCAGGATACAGCCAGACCTACCCAACATCTGCCTGTGGCATTTGGTGGCTGCGTGGGCAGGCATGGTCTGATCCTCCAGCTTGGTGGCTGTGCGGAGGTGAGGGAGGATGGGCTGAGCTCCCTGCAAAGCCATAGCCTGTGGCCAGCAAGGGCAATAAATAGCTCACTGCTCTGTCCCTTTGCTAAGAGCAAGCCTGGTGTGAAGCAGAGATGCTACCCAGAGCTGGCACAGCCCTGCAGGCACATGGCTGCAATTCTTGGGGTGCCCCAGAGCCTCTGCTCCAGGGCACGGCTCCATGGGTCATTATCTCTAGGCTGAGGTGGGTTGTGAGATGTGGGGAGGGGAGATGGGATGGTCCGAGGCTCCTCACAGTGAGGGGACGGGATGATGACCACAACATGGGGAGTGCAGGGTGTTGGTGCCTGCTGCAGCCTGGACTTAAACTGAGACCGGCCCTGGGTAGACATGCAGAAAGTGCAGCTCTCCCGGGAGAAGCAGACACAGAAAACGGCTACTCCAGAAAGCTACAGCTGGGAGCAGCACTGAATTAAACAGTACTTCAGCCATGAAAGGGCCAGCAGTTTGGTCTTTTGCTACGACAGTCACAGTGTCAGAGCACATGAAAGATGCTGGAAGTGGATACCTACAGCGTGGCTGAGCCACAGAGAGGAGAAAGAGACTGACAGAGACAAAGAGAGGCTGTAGTGGAACGGCACCAGACCTCCAGCAGTTCATGCTCCTGCTGGCACGATGCTTTGCAGCTCCTCCAGCAACTCACCACGAGGCCACGCAGGAGCTGGAGCAGAGGGGCAGGAACCAGTGCCATGTCCCAGGGCCAGTCTGGAGGCAGCAGGGGCAGGGAGAGCCCTGCACAAGTGCTGCTGTCGAAGCAACATGTCCTGGATCTGTGGGCTCAGGAGGATGGTTTCACAGAGAAGTGATATGTGAGGCGGAGGGAAATACCTGGGCTTTCTGCCCCTCGGGTGACGGAGCACGTTTCTTGATTAAACTGAAAAAATTCTTTCATAGCAAGTGGAGTGACAATTAGTGACAATGGCAGGCAGCTGTTGTACTGTGACCGCGGCTTATTAAGCTAATCATAATTGTCTCCCTGTTACCTTGAGCTCCTCCCTGTCTGTATGGGGCATCCATCTGTTGTCTCTTGTTCGGTAATTAAGCCGGAAGCTCTTTGGGGCAGGGACCATCTTTTCATTACGTCTTGCACATGGGGGTCCCAATCAGAGCCTCTAGCTGCTCCTCCAGTACAAATAAAGTGGCAGTAAATAAGGGAAAATACGCTCCTTCTCTTTGATTTGAATACCAGTTGCGGCTCACGAGGCATTATAGCTAATGAGACGTCATTTGTGAGAGGGGAACGTGCCCAGCCGGAGGAGAGAGGCACACGCAGCTCCTGGCGAGGGCTGGGGGCTCGCGGTGAGGCCAAGGCTGCAGCGGGTGCTTCTCCCAGGCGGCTGCTCCGGGGGCTCAGTGGGCGCTGCTGGAGCCATCAGGGAATTTGTCGCAGCCCCAGAGCCCCCTGCAGCCCCAGCAGCGAGTGCTGGCAGTGCCATGCTCTTGTTCTGCTTGAAGCTCAGCTCGCTGCAGCCAGCACTTGCTGAAAGCTTGGGTTTGGGGCCCCTCTCCTTCTGCTGGGCTTCCCCAGGACCCGCAGGAAGGCTGGCACGCAGGAGCAGGGCTGGTGGCACACAAGTCACACCAC